TTAGGTGTTTCTATGTTGGGTGCATAGATATTTACATGTGTTGTATCCTCTTGTTCGATCATTCCCTTTATATTGTGTAATGCCTTTCTTTGTCTCTTGTTACAGTTATTTTTGTTTAAAGTCTATTTTGTCTTATATAAGTCTTGCTCTCCTGCTTTCTTTTCATTTTCATTTGCATGGAGTGTCTTTGTCCATCTCTTCACTTTCAGTTTGTAAGTATCTTTAGATTTTAAGTGTCTCTTGTGTGCAGTGTATATATGGGTCTTGTTTTTTCATCCATTCAGCCATGCTATGTCTTTTGATTGAAGCATTTAGTCCACTGACATTTAAAGTAACTATTGATAAGTATGCACTGATTGTCACTGTGTTACTTTTTTTTGGGATGTTTTAGTTCTTTTCTGTTCCTTTCTTCTTCTCTTTCTCTCTTCCCTTGTGATTTCATGCCTTTCTTTAGTGTTATGTTTGGGTTCCTTTCTCTTTATTTTTGTTTATTTATTATAGGTTTTTGGTTTGTGATTACAGGATTATAGGATTTGGTTTGAGGTTCATATATAATAACCTATATATATAGCAATCTATATTAAGTTGATGGTCTCAAGTTTGACCTCTTACTAAGAGCCCTACACTTTTACTCTGTTTTCCCACATTTTATGTTTTTGATATCATATTTTACCTCTTTTATTTTTGTGTATCCCTTAACCTGTTATCATAGGTATAGATGATTTTATTACTTTTGATTTTTAACCTTCATACTGGCTTTATAGGTGGTTGATCCACTACCTTTGCTGTAAATTTGCCTTTACCAGTGATATTTCTCCTTTGATAATTTTTCTTATTCATATTTGTGGTCTTTTCTTTTCCACTTAATTAAGTCCCTTTAACATTTCCTGTAAAGTTGGTTTAGTGGTGATGAACTCTTTTAGTTTTTGCTTGTCTGGAAAAGTCTGTCTTTCACTCCATTCTGAATGATAACCTTGTTGGGTAGAGTATTTTTGGTTGTAGGTTTTTCCTTTCAGTAGTTTGAATATATTGTGCCACTCCCTTCTAGCCTGTAAGGTTTCTGCTGAAACCCAACCCCACCCCAACCCTGGCGTGTTGGGCCCAGCCACTTTCTGCCTCTCTGGGATATGCTTTGAGCTTAGTAAGTGAGTCTTTTTTACCAAAGGATGATGTACTTTTTTTATCTGGTGGTTTTTTTGCTGGTTTCTGGGTCAAGTGGATCTGTGTGGAGGCCCTGTAAGAGCAGGTTTTTCTTTCCCTGAAGTTCTGTAGTTTTCCTGGGCATACTCCCATTGATTTTCAAAGCCAGCAAAGCCAGGTATTAGGGGATCTCATCTGCTGTGCTGAGTCCAAAGTCTGAGGTGCCTAATGTGGAGCTCAGATCCCCCACTCCTCCAGGAAAAGCTCTGTACTTTTGAGATGACTCCTGGCTGTGAAGTACCACAACTAGGGTGTGTTTTTTCCTCAGTGGGGCTGTATCTCTGCATCTTCCACCCCTGTCTGTGTTGTCTCTTGTTGTAGAGATTCTTCTTATCCAGTGTCCAGATCTCTCTCAGAGGAAATTGTTTCACAGGTAATTGTAGATTGTTATGTCTGTGGAAGGAGGAGAGTTCAGGATCCTCCTATGCTACCATCTTCTAAACTCCTTTCTTCTACTTTTTTTAGTATGTAATATGATGTCCTTTTACTCAATTCTTGAGATGAATATTTATTGAGTGTAATCTACCTTCTTTTCTGCTATATAAATTTATTTTTATAAATTTCCTTCTCTGCACAGATTTCTTGTGTTTCACAAGTTTTGATATGCTCTATGTTCATTTTCCTTCTCATAAAATCATTTTCTAGTTTTTATTATGACTTCTTCTTTGGTGAATTTCTTTGAAATATGTTGCTTAATTTCTAAATATTTGTTCCTTTTTTCATTATGTTATTGATTTCAGGCTTAATTCTACTGTGGCCAGAGAATATAACTGAATGACTTCAATGCTTTGAAATTTGTTCAGATTTGTTTTATGGCCCATCATGTGGTCAGTTTGGGTACAATGTGCACTTAAAAATAATATTCATTCTACAGTTGTTTGCAATGTGCTAAATATGTAAGTAGGGTCGGTTTTGTGAATTTTGTTGGTTAAATCTTCTGACTTAATGTTTCTTTTTCAGCTTCTTATATCATTGTTACTCAGTGTGAAGTGTTAAATTTTCCCACTTTGTTGATGAATTTATCTATTTTCACTTTTATTCTATCAAATATGCTTTTATATCTTGAAGTTGTGTTATTTGCTGCATACAAATTAAAGTTGTCACATCTTCCCAGTGATTGACCCTCTGGATTGGATCACAAATTTTAAAATAATAGCAGTATTAGTAAGGATATGGAACAATTGAAACTTTCATATACTCAGAGTAAAGATATAAATTTGTACAACCACTTTGGAAAATGGTTTAACATTATTTACTAAATTTTGTATATATGCATAACCTATGCATTGTATTTCACTCCTATGTATATACCCAACAGAAATTTATGATTATATAAACCAAAATACATGTGAAAGAATATTCATTGCAACATTATTTATGTAGCCCAAATGGCAAACACCCCAATATCCAACAGTAGAAAATACGTATGAATTGTGATATATTTATTTCAAGGAATACTAGACAGCAAAGAAAATAGACAAAAGACCATTACATGTAAGAAGATGGCTGAATCTCACAAACAATGCTGACCAGAAAAAACCCTCCACAAAATAATACATTTTTATGTTTCCAATTATATAAAGCTCAAAAAAAGTTAAAACTATACTATGATTCTAGAAGTCAGCATACTGGCTACTTTTCTAGGAAAGGAAAGAGATTTAGGTTGTGAAGAGCCTGAAGGGGTATTTTGGGGGTGCCAGTATTATCCTATTTCTTTATCTGCATAGTGGTTACATGGTTGTGTTCTCTTATGATAAGTCATTGACCTGGTATATTTTTATGTACTTTTCTGTGCCTATACTACACTTTAACAAAGTGTTTTAAAAAATTAAGAATGCTAGTTATATTCCCAGTACTATTTATTTACTGTGAAGAAGATATCTGAGATTCAAACAACATTTTCCTGCCCCCAGGAGGGACAATTTCACAACATCAATGTGATTTTTGTCTCCTCCTTTTTCTTACCCAAAAGCCCTATTTCCTTGCCTAAAATCCTTCAAGAGCTTCTTGTTGTTATTAAAATAAAAATGAATATACATAACTTTGCCTTTAAAGCCTGTGTGGTCTCATTCCTGTGTACCAGTTTAGCCTCATTTCACATTATCTTCAGTCTTCATCCTAAACCCCACATGAGCATAACTGGGTATTTTGCTATTCACCATTAAATAACCATAATTCCCAGCATAATCCCCGTATAACACCCCAGTAGTGCTCAATATAAAGATTTACTGAAATGAATTAAAGAACTGACATATAAAATAATGAGATAAAAAATAATGGGTCATTAAATTAATTATTTCTAGCTTGTTCTTGCTTTCACAAAAAGGAAAATATGGATATAATGAAGAAACTCAGCTCATAAGCTCTATAAACATTAGTTCTAGGAAGCTAAAAAAATATAGCAAGCTAAATTTTAAAAGATCATCTGATCCATTCTCAAGTAGTTTATACCTAAATCATTTTAGATGAATGGGTAAGTGATATTTAAAGATGTAAAAATAAAAGAAAAGGGAGTACAAGATTTTCATCCCATACAGATCAAATAGAATACCATTGTCATTCATTTAGTATGCTGATCAACAGACAGCAGATGTTATCTATTCTCTGAAACTTATAGACACAAACTCTGGAAAACAAGGACTCAATGTTATCCTTCTTCTGAAATTTCTTCCCTACATTTGTGAGTGTTTTTGTTATATTTCAGATCTTATGTTTAGATGTTATATGTTCTTTCGTAATAATGTTTAAATGTTCCAGAAAGGCAGTGTAATACAATACAAGGAGCAGCAGCTTTTGAGTTAGAAAACTGATTGGGTTTAAATCACACATCTGTCACCATATGACCATAGGAAATTCACCTAACATTTCTGTATTTTTTTTTCTGTATTTTTCCTGTAACTTTGTTTAATAGAAAACTCAAAGGTAATTATAACTCTATAAATTCCACAGCATTCGTTTGAGAGGATCTACTGAAGTGACAGATATATATGTGCTTTGAAAAGTATGTATTATATAAAAATTTAAAACACCATTTAATAATATTCTTGTTATAAGGAAGAAATATAGAAGACAAAGAAGATTAAACTTTGTTGAGGCGCTTTATATGCTCTATATGTTTAACATAACATTATCTTATTTAAAGCACACAACAGTTTTGAACATCAAGTATTTAACATTACCAATTTATAAGTCAAGAAACCTACTCATCTACAGTTTAAATCATTTGTCTAAGGTTGCATAGCTGGTCTTCCTTATGCCATAGTCCTTGCTTCATCAACAACACCATTCAAAATAATACTGTCACCCAAAAAGTGTAATACAGGCCACTGAAGCAATATCATATAATTGTGAACACTTTTTGTCATTTTATCCAACATTTCAGGCAACATCTTTTCTTTTTTTTTATTCTTTTTTTTTAATTTAATTTTTTGTTTATTGCAGTAACATTGGTTTATAACATTGCATGAATTTCAGGTGTACGTCATTATACTTCTATTTCTGCATAGATTACATCATGTTCACCACCCAAATACTAATTACAACCCATCTTTAATACAGATCAGTTTACCACAATGTCCCTGAGGTACATTATTTCACAATTTTAAGCATAGGGAATTGTTTGTTCTAAGGTCAATTGCCCTTGAACATTTAAAGTAGCACTGCTCCCTAAAAGACTAATTCCTAGGCAAATACATTTCTAGGGGAGTCAGAATTTTGGTCATGCTTAACTACCTTTCCTCCCATGTTACCTGAGCTAATATTGCCTTAGTTACCTAGAGTCCTTAATGCATAATTAACAGTGTAGGAAAAGCTACTGACTCAAAATGGGAAAAATCCAACAACTCTGGATGAAACAAAAATGGTCATTATTATTTTTTAAAAAACCATACATTCTTTCTATTTGTTAAAATGACATTTTTTCAAAAATGTAATTAATTTATGTTTTCCCTTTCTACCTGAATTTATGCCACTTAACAAAGAGACTAGTAATCCAGCTATTTTTCCATATTTTTAGGGACAATTTTTCACTCCAAACTTATTTTTTTAATTAGCTGTCACCAAATTTCCCAGAGTGTATGCCTACCATTCTTTCTAGAAATGACAATTTATTTACAAATAATATATTTTAAAATTTAAATGTGAATTTGTAAGATCTACAAGTGCAGCTTCTATGTTAATAATTTACTAACATACAGCCAGTACTTTTAAGAGGAAGGGGTAAAGGAGGGTGTAATACACATGTGATCATTTTGTGTTCTAGTACTTCTTTCTTTTTCTTGTAGGATTTATCAACTTGTTTTGTTCTCATGATTGCTACAAGAGTTTAGGTAACTTTAGGCACTTGGAATGTTTGGGGTGGAAAAGCCTAAGGGGAGTTCAAGGGTGATTGCTAGTTAATGGCAGTGCAAATGAAGCATGAATCTTCAGTTGAAGCTCAGCTCAAACTCATCTCTCTCACGATGAACACGTACATTATTTTGTGATTTTTTTAAGTCACAGGGTGCATATTTCCTATAGAAGTACTAGAGAAAATCATTTGGAAGTGACTGGTAAACACACACTTTAATCAGACAAACAAAGCATAGTTTCTCAGCCATCTGCCATGAACAACTTTGCATTTTGACTTTGTATTGTAACAATACTAGTTTTAATAAAATGTTACCTGTAATATCCAGTTAGGTAAGATAAATGCACATAATTTTAATTTTACACTCTATCTCTGGAGATAGATAGTCTTAAATTGATTGTTAAACGGTTGCATGTGTGGGAGATCAGAATTGGCCACCCCAAAATGTATCTCTTTGCCTTGGCTTGATTATTTTGAAGAACAAAAGACTCTGAAAGAAACTTTAGTTCTACCTCTAACTGCCTAAAAGAATTTAAGATAAAAGGCCTGTCCCCAGGGCCAGCCCCGTGGCTTAATGGTTAAGTACGCGCGCTCCGCTGTTGACGGCCAGGGTTCAGATCCCGGGTGCGCACCGATGCACCGTTTGTCAGGCTATGCTGTGGCAGCATCCCATATAAAGTGGAGGAAGATGGGAACGGACGTTAGCTCAGGGCCAGTCTTCCTCAGCAAAAATAGGAGGATTGGCAGATGTTAGCGCAGGGCCGATCTTCCTCAAAAAAAAAAAAAAAAAAGGCCTGTCCCCAGGATGGGCCATCAACATAGATATCTCTGGGTATCAGTAGACTGTGAGGGTCCTTGCTAAGTCCATCCTTATCAAAGTTCTGTTTACCAAACATTTGCTTTTCCATCTCCATATGAATTGCCTTCTTCCCCTTTGAAGTCCCAAACCACTATCCCCAACAACCTCCTTTGTCTTCAGCTGAAGATGCTATTTAAGGTGACAACCTCAGCCGGATGGCTGAGTTACTCAGTTTTCCTGAATCTCTCCCATATATACATGTTATAAAGCTTTGTTTGATTTTCTCCTGTTATTCTGTCTCATATCAACTTAATTCGTAGCCCAGCCAGAAGGATCAAGAGGGTAGAGGATTTGTTTTCCTCCCCTACACATGACTGAAAAACTCAAATTGTAATAGATGTTGTTCTAAAAATAAATCTTAAAATTGTTAGCTTTTAGTAATTTAGTCCCTGTAGATCAAAAGCCCTCATATTCTTTTTTATAAAAACAACACATTTTGCAATGTTTAATTCATTCTATTAAATGGTGAAAATTAATGTAATTTTGTGCTTTATAAGAAATATATACTTGGTCATTAAGATGACCAAAATATATTTCTAACATGTATGTGGTTTTTCTCCACAGTTCTTGGCTCACAGCTCCCAAAACCCTTGAAACTTCTTGTTTATGTTAATGAAGGTGACTTTTGGATCCCACTCAAGGGTGGGGGCTGGCTGCCAGGAGAACTAACCATGTGATCAGAGGATTAGAACTTTCAATCCCACCCCCTGATTTCCAGGTAGGGGAGCAGAGTTTGAGGTTGAATCAATTGCCAATGGCCAAAGACTTAGTCAATCATGACTATGTAATGAAGCCTCCATAAAAAAATAAAAAGACAGCTCATTGCCTGTTTTTGCAGAGTTTCCACATTGGGGAACCAGAATGCTTCCACATGCAACTGTGCGGGCCCCAAGCTCCACAAGGACAGAAGCTCCTTTGTTCCGGACCTCACCCTATATATCTCTTCATCTGGCTGTTAATTCATATCCTTTAATGTCCTTTGTAAAAAATTGGTTATCTAGTGAGTAAACAGGTTTTCTTGAGTTCTCTAAGCCATTCTAGGAAACAATTGAACCTGAGAAGGAGGTCATTAGAACCTTTGATTTATAGCTAGTTGGTCAGAAGCACAAATAACAACCTGGTCTTGCAGCTGGCATCTGAAGTGGAGGGTGGTCTTGTAGGACTGTGTCCTTTACCTGTGGGATCTGATTCTATCTCTGCATAGATAGTGTCAGAATTGAGTTGAATTCTTGGACACCATACTGGTGTCTGAGAACATCGTGTTGACTTGGGGAAGCCTCCACACATACATGCTGGAATTGGTTCCAAGAACCCCCTTTGCAGTTGGTGTCAGTGAAGTGGGATTTGCTAGAATGGCCCTGACTCACAAAAACATGTGGTTTTTGAAAAGAAAGGATAAAATGGTGGGGGATGAGGAACTTTTGATCCCTAGATGGCTACCTAGTCATGCATAGTATGAAACTGCAGCTATGCTGTGACCAGTTATTAAATGTAAAAATTACCAATGGAATTTAGAAGTGGTAGTAGACCCAATTTCCAAGAAGTTAATTCATTGGATATATAAGGAAATGCAAAACAATAAGAAAATTGCTAAACATATAATTCTCTGGTTGTTGTTATCTATAATAGCCAAAATGAAAGTAAAAGAAAGTGCTGGGTTAGACCTTGATGCTGAACCAAGCTTAGATTTGGGTCAATCTGAGCTTTTGCCATTAGCCGTAAAGCCACATAGAAAGGGAAAAATTATGCAGGAGAAACAGAAAATACCTCTAAGATCTCTGGTCACCAAGAAGGTAGTTAATGTAGGACAAGGGCAAAACCAAGAAATGACTGATACCAGGGATATAGTGTGAAGAAACTGGCTCATTTTGTGGATCGGTATTTTGAGCTTCCCGAAGAACCTTTACTAAAATGGATCATGAGAGTAACCAATTCGGGGGCTGTGTCTTTGGTTTTGAATGCTGCAGAGTGGAAGAGCATGTTTGGGTTGATGCAAGACTTGCAGCTGACTATTGAACAGTCACAGATAGCTGTATAGGATGCAGGCACACAGGAGGTTATTCTCAAGGCAACAGCCAACCTGGTGTACTGGATAAAAGCCACTATAAAATGTGTTTATCCTGAGAAAGGAGACTGCCCAACTCCCCCTATAAGTGCCAAATGGAACACCCCAGATGAAGCAGCTGATATACTTCATATGCAAGCCATGTGGGACTGGATTTATTACCGAGATATTCACTCACTTAATATGCCCATTACTCAGGTTATGGTAAATGCTGTGATTAAGGGGGCCCTTGTTGCATGGGTACCCCGTGTAAATTTACTGCTACAATAGCAAACAATAGTTTGAGAAGCCTTATCAGATTTGCTATCACAGCTTCCCTGTATGGGTTTTACTGATACCAAGAACATTAAAGTAATTAATAGGGAGAGACAAAGAAGAGAGTCAAGGGAACTCAACCCAGCAGAGTGAAAGTCTTCAGATGGCTATAGAAAAATTGAATGAATAAAGCAGACATTGATGGAGTTGAAACAAAGGTGTTGATGAAACATAAGCAGAGATTGGGTGGAGTAATGTGACAGGCTGTAGGTCCCCCAACATTAAAGGGCCCTAACAAGTCCACTCTGTTCATTCCAGTTTAGAGGAATTTAAGCTGGAAGGCAAAGATTACAATGAGAAGCCTGACCAGGAATCCCCTGGGGCAATGGTTAGGAAGATTAATCAGATAAAGATTTACGCAGACCCCATGGTCTTCTGGACCCACCCCCAGCTGGGGACTGAAGGTCATATGCACGTGTGGGTAAAATGGCCAGAGAGAGGAGAAGGAAGTTTTCTGGGACTCCTTGATATGGGAGCCCAATACACTGTTATTCCAAAATTTGTTGGTGAAGTCTTAATGGGGGCTAAGGTTAGACTGGGAGGATATGGAGATACAACAGTTGATGGGATTAAGGTTTAATTTTGGGTGAAAATTCAGGTTTTTGAACAAATTTTCTATGAGGTGGTTGCATCTCCTTTTCCTGAATGTATTTATTGGGATAGATATTATGCCTCACTGAGGATTGCTTTCCCTACCTAATATTGTAAAACAGAAGGTCTTTAAGTCTGCCCTCAGGCCAGTTTTAATAGGGCGTGCTAAATGGGAACCACTATAACTACTTGAGACCACACAGGTGGTTAACTTAATATAGAATACCTGCTGGACAAAAAGACATTGCCACTTTAATTAATGACATGCTTAGAAGCTAGAGTGCTTGTACCAACAAATTCACTGTACAATAGTCCCATGTAGCCTGTGAAAAAGGAGGAATGGCTCATGGAGACAAACAGTAGGATATCGAGGCTTAAAGTTGTACTACCCATAGCCTCAGCAGATCCGGACGTAGTTGCAACCATACAGAAAATACAGCAGGCAGAAGGAGGTTTGTTGGGTCAGCCCCAGTGGCCTGGTGGTTAAGTTCAGCATGCTCCACTTCAGTGGCCTTGGTTCGGTTCCCAGCACGGACCTACACCACTCATCTGTCAGTGGCCATGCTGTCGTGCCAGCTCACATACAAAAAGAGGAAGATTGGCAGCAGATGTTAGCTCAGGGAAAATCTTCTTCACCAAAAAATAATAAATAAAAAATAAAATATAATAATAAAAAAATAAAGGAGGTGATCCTCAGTGATTGACCCTGCAAATGCTGTCTTGTCTATCTCGATCTCAGAAAAGACAGCCAACTGTGTTTCACCTTCATGTGTGAAGGATCCCAATTTACTTTAACTGTGCTGCTACAGGGTTATCTGAACTCACAAGCTCATTGTCATAATCTAGTCAGAAGGTATTTTGACTTGATACAGGTCTCAAATGTAATAATACACTATATTGATGAGATTATGACAATATTGGAAACTGAAGAGCAGGCTAGAACTTATTTGAATGCAATGATGATGCATATGACCAACCAGGGCTGGTTAGTAAATCCAGCAAAGGTCCAAAAGCCTGCCCAAACAGTAAAATTCTTAGGAAAAAACAGGGCAGGAGCCACCCAGGATATTCCACAAGTGACTAAAATAAACTGCTGTTGCTATCCACTCCTAGGACCAAACAAGAAGCCCAGCATTTGGTTGGTTTATTTGGATTTTGGAGAATGTATAGTCCACATCTGGGAATATTGCTAGCTCCCATCTGTAAGACTACCCAAAAGGAATCTATATTTGAGTGGGGACCTGAATAAAAGCAGGCCATGTCTAAATTACAAAAGGCGGTAGCTCTCTCAATGTCTTTGGGCCCTTATAACCTCCACTCAGAAATGATTCTGAAAGCACCTTCCATCCACACTCATGCAGACTGGAGCTTATGGCATAAGCCCATAAGTGCCTCTCAGCAGTGACCATTGGGATTTTGCACCAGAAAATTCTCAGATGCTGCCACCTGGTACACACTGTTTGAGAGACAATTATTAGCCTGCTATTGGGCATTAATTGTGACTGCCTCAATGACTGAAGGACATAAAATAATCACAAAAACTGAGCTATCCATAATGTCTTGGGTAATGTTGAAGAAACACTCTAATAAGGAAGGCAGTGCCAAGAAGAGTTCCATAATAAAATGGAAATGGTTTATATAGAAGCATGCTGCTGGGGGAATGCAAGGAAACACCCATTGTATCCATGAGCAGGTAGCCTCTTTTCCTCTAGGACCAACTTTGGAGCCACCTGAGGAGCTGCTGGAACCAATTGCCATGTGGACAGTGCCCTATGAACAGCTCTCAATGAAACAACAAAGAGCTGCTTGGTTTATGGATGGCAGTTCTAAAATGAATGGATAATATCCCTTTTGGAAAGCTACCACATTAAGAACAGCAGATGGCAAGACTCTGAAGGAAGAAGGTAAAAACAAATCAGTTCCATGGGCTGACTTGCATGCGGTTTTCCTAGTGGTGGTGGAAGAATTGAACAATGGTAAAAATTCCCTATGCTTGAGTTTTTACCAACTCATGGGCCATAACCAAGGGCCTAGTAATATGGTCAGATAGATGGGCCGTGGAAAACTGGACCATTGAAAAGATCCCCATATGGGATGAAAACCACTCTGTGAATTTAAGGGACACATTAAACCAGGACATGTCAATGCCCATCAGAATAACCCTCTTTCAGGTTTGGAAGGTGATCAGAATCACCAAGTGGACCTTTTGGCACGCTCCCTTGAGGTGGCCACCTGGGTCCATGAAATGAGGGGTCTTGGGGGGACTGTAGTAATGTAGAAATGGGCTGAATCTAGACATATTTTTCTTACACCCTGAGAGGCATAAAATACCAACAAGAACTT